TCGATAAAGAAACAAACTCAGATCTACCATATTAATCGGCAAAATGTCAAGTTGCTAAATATATAATAATTATTATAATATAATAATATATCAAAATAATTGATCAAATCATTCTCTGAAACTTTTCAGTAATCATAGTCTCCAACCACAGGTGTTACAGCGATTACTTATTGAGTGTTACTCAACAATAAAGATGGCCTGCTGGGCCAGTGTGTGAGCCAGAACAGTTGTCCTTTTGGGCCTATTTTATGCCTTGCAAACTTAAATGTTTGGTTTTGCTTTGATGTATTCCATATTGTTGTGGCTGCTGATTTGTCATCAAGATTATCTAGCTAGCCTAGATAAGGTGTTGTCAAATTTGCAGAAATTATAGTCTTGAAAGCATGAGGAAGAATGTGTTGACAGTTCCTTACTTTTTTCATAGTTGTTTTTCGTGGTTATTTATGGACTATATAGTCATTAAAACCAAATGACTTTCCACTTGTTGCAGAATTTCACATTTATTTTGTAAATTAAATAAAACCGTTATGTTTAACAAGTATAAAAAAGCATTGTAAAAAACTGTTGTTGAGCCCAAGTTGTCAGTGATTTAAAAGGATCATTCACCCAAAAAGGAATCTTCTGTAATCATTTAGTCACCCTCATATCATTTCAATCCTGTATGACTTTCTTTCATCTGCGGGACACAAAAGAAGATATTTTGAAGAATGCTGATGGTGACCAAAAGAGACGTGTTCCATAGAAGAAAGCCATTCAGGTTTGGAATGACATGAGGGGAGTAAATTACACAATTTTCATTTAAGTGAACCATCCCTTTAGTAAACAGTGAAAATGATCATGAAGGGGGAGAGCGAGAAAGCAAGTCATACTACAGCATAACATGTATAATGTCATGCCTTTGGATGTTACTAGTTTTGGACTAGTTTTGGACAGAAGTATCACAATGCATGAAACCCAGTTGCCAATAGATGGCACTGTAGAATCACTGCGCTTTCCTAAAGAGACTTGCAACTAGTAATGGAGTGTTGCACTTTTTCTAATCATCTGATTGCAGAGGTTTAGACCACTCACTTCCACTTAGCTGTTAACATTGAACCTTTATAGAAAATAACTTATGATTAGTCATAGATCACATGACTTCAGTTGCACATGATGCACTGTCATGTGTTTGCATGCTAACCCGTTTACATACAAAAATAAGCTTCATACTCAATCGTTCAGATGTACGAATATCATTACAATTTAAAATAAAATTTTTTGTATTTTAATATATTCTAAAATGTAACTTATTCCTGTGTTGGCAAAGCTGAACTTTCATCAGCCGTTACTACAGTCTTCAGTGTCACGTGATCCTTTAAAAAAAATCATTCTACACGGTAGTGTGCAAACTGTCCGAGACACTTAAAACCAACCAAGTGTTGTCCAGAAGTGGACAGAAACTGTAAGCAAGTGGGAAGTGGCAGCACAAGCAGCATCAACAGAGAGATGCAAACTTTTGTTTCTCTTCTGCGTGGGACACTCTCTCCAGCTGGCTGTCAGACTGCTGATGCTGCAAAACATTTTACATAAGTAAAACATTGACCTGCCAACAAGTTGGGTACTTTTCTGGACGACTACAGAAAGTTCAATAGTTCAGTGGAAATAAGAAATAAGGTTCATAGGTAGATGTTTTTAAATATAAATGCTTGGAGTCTTGATGTGATGTGTTTCTGGTGTTTCTCGGCCCTTATTGAGCCACGTGTTCTGGCCACCATAGATAAATTTCCAGCCTATCGTAAACTCCTGCCCCTCCTCCCCGGGGTCTGCGCTGTGCCTCTGACCTTGCTGGCTTGAGCTTAAATGAGGAAGGCAGAAAATAGCACATTAAACACAGAGCCCGTCCGTGTTTCCCTGGGCTCAGCTCGGCCATCCGACACCTGATCTCATGGGTTTCTCTGTGGAGGTGCAGATCTGTGCCCTGTACACATAACACACAAACACACACACAAGGCTTACAAACAGTCATCTGTGATTTACTTTTTCAAATACTTCAACTTCTAAACCCCTACCGATTCCCTGGAGCGAACGACGAAGGAAGAAATTGAGAAAAAGAGAGAGAGACTTGTCTGAGTGAGTGATAGGGAAGAGCGGGTGGTCATGGTGTATTTTTGTCATTTTGTAGATGTCTGTCTATTAGAGTGTTGTCTTCCATGTTGTTTGGTGTATTGGGGGCTGGTTCTGACCGTATGTGGACAAGTGAGATTAGCGGGCCAAGTGGAGCAAGAGGTTCTGTTCGTTCAGTCAGCCACTGTGATCTCATAAAACATCTATACTGATCTTAAACAATGGTATGAATGCAGAATGTTCTGTCATGCTTGTTAGTTAGCTCACAAACATGACTGGTCACTTTTGCAGATGCAAGTTGAATGTGTTCAGAGTTAGTTCATTGTTTTGTATCAAGTTTATGGGACAGTTTAGAATGTTCTTATGAGGAATTCGGCTTGGCAGTTTCTTTAATTGCATTTTTTATACAAAAGTTTTTAATTAACAGGGTTTCATGAACCGCTATTTAGAAAAAAAAATCAGTTGCTTTGTTGCTCTCTCTGACTGTTCTCAAAAATGAATACAGCCCAAAATGCAGCACATTGTACAAATAAATCACTCTGTTGATACTGTTTTTCCAATTGTAAGACTAAATCGGGAATCAGACTGAATAATTTAAGCCCCCCCCCCCCCCAACTGTTTACACGGCAAGACCATTCTTTATATTTTTCCATTGCTTAACCTTGTATTGATTGAACCGGACACGTACTGTTAAATTATATAATGGTGCCGTATCAGTTATTGGCCATCATAATAGAGATTTTTTTTCACTACTTAGCAGGATTGGTTGATTTTAGATTTATTGGCCGCTATTGCATATTTAATTGTGTGCTCATTTTCTCTGTTAATGCATTTTTACCATATTACCTTTGTTGTTGGCTAACGCATATTTCAAGTGAATCTTTAAAAACACAAATAATTGTAATATGTGGCACACCTTAAAATGAATATTATTTTTTTCAGTACTCTACATTATATTGTTGTGATGCCGAAGTGAACTAAACATTTTATACTTTGAGTTTTTGTTTTATTTGTTTAGATAATAAAATGTATATATTATAATATCTCCCATTTATCAGTGATCAGCCATAACTTGAGGACATTTTTTTATTTATTATTTTGGCCAGAATTTTAGCATCCAAGTCAACTTTTTTTGTAACTCTGCAGAAATTAAGTTTCATGCCCAAGTGAAAAAAGCCTTCCCTTTAGATTCAGGGAACTGTCTCTGCTTGTGTGTGTGTGTGTTTGCGTTAAATGCATAGAGTACATTTCCTTCTCAGTCTCTGTGAAAGTCACCTGCTAGTTCCACCTGTCGGAACAACTCGCGCACACACAACTTTGTAACCGGTACTCTCTCTCTCTCTCTCTCTCTGTGCATTTAAAAACACACACAAACAGTCTCTCTAACGTAATCCAAGACCACCATTCCATTGAAGTGGGGTTTTCCCCCACCCAGGTTTGTGAAGCAGCACACGTTATCACCTTATATGAACGTGTCGCTACATCTTGGAGATCTGTTTCTCTTTAATGTCTCAGAAGACCTCGCTGCAGACCTTCTGTTTAGTTTATTACACTTCAGACCTTTTGCTTAAGCGTCTCTTAATACCTCAAAACCTTCTTTTAAACTGACAGGATCAAGAAATCAGCCTGAACACAAATGGAAAATAACTGCAAGTGATTGAATCACCTGAGCCAAAATGACTGTCATTGTGAGTGTGTCTAACTTAAGCAATGGTACGGATGTTTTTTTTTTTTTTTCTAGATCTACATCTGCGTGTCCTCTGCTGTAGCAGTGCTGTTTTGCTCTGTCTTGGCTGCCCTGTTGTCTTTAGTGTTTCTTGCATTCTGCACCTTTGGATGTACAGGTTTAAATGTAATATTCTGTTTCATAGGATAAGTTGGATTCCTTGGATGTGTCGTGATTCTGTCTCTTTCCCTGAGGGTTGTGACCTGTAACACTGAATCACAGCAGTTTAGAATTGCAGTCTTGTGTGTCATTTGCATATGTTATTTTCTTAATTTATGTTGAAGACTTCATGATATCAAAATTTTAGTTCCATGACTGCATTGAGAATTGAGACTGCTTCTTGTATGCTGCACAGTATACATTTGTATACAATTAGTATGTGAGTAGGCGTTATGCAACAATGAATTTTAAAAACAGTTGTATGATACATTGTCATCACATGACCTCCATTGCATTGCATGTTTAATTCACTGGTGTCCAGTTATCATCTTAGAATTAAAGGTGATGTTAAAACTAAGCTTTTTTCCCCCCTTTGTCAAACACCAACTACCTGTTCAATAAGAAATACATCAACTCAGGAAAGGAAATTGCTCATCAGACAAGTTAATTGGGTGTTTTTATTGTCATTGTTGTAATGATGATGGTGATGGTTCAAAGGCTATCTGTTACTAGTGGGTCCACCACAGTAGATTTGCTTCTAAATCAGCGTTCTACCATCATGTGTGAAGTCATGTCAGCAAATTGGTTTTGAATTTGAACTCTGGGAAGTTTAGGTTTCTTGCCCTTTCCTGTGCTGCCCACTGATTAGTTTACATATCCAAGTCCTTTGCAGTTCTTGGATAATGGAAAACTGCCCATTGTGATGTTTGATGACTGACCTAGTGTGATCTTTATGTCCTCAAATGTTTCCACCTCTGATCATTATTTGAGATATGGCATCTTTTGTCTTGTCTGGCATGTGTTTACTGACTTTACACTCTACTATAATGAATCCCATTATTAGCTTTTCTCTCAGGCTGTATCTGAGTCAGATGGCATTTGAGTATATATGGAAGTACACCCTGAACCTTCTACTTAAGTGCTTTTGTGAACACACCCATCACAAAAGTGAATTTTCAGCATGGCATTTTTTAGCTTTTTCTCAAGTGTGTGTGTGTTTGTTTGTGCACAGACGTCTCTGCTCAGGAGCAGCCGGAGTTGTTCCTGAAGAAACTTCAGCAGTGTTGTGCTGTGTTTGATTTCATGGACACTCTGTCAGACCTGAAGATGAAAGAATACAAGCGCTCAACCCTCAACGAGCTCGTCGATTATGTTACAGTCAGCCGAGGATACCTCACAGAACAGGCCTACCCAGAGGTCGTCAAAATGGTGAGTGAAAACATGCATAGTCAACTCAATGTGCATAATCTCTCTGTGAGCCGGATTCATACATTTATACAAATGGTATAATGTGAATTTGTATTTCAATAATCAGTGTAACCTATCAGATGCACGGCTAGCTGTACATTGAATGATTTTAATACACGACGTGAAGGCAAGAACCACCTGACGCGAAGCTACAGCTCTTTAGCTCAGCATTCTGCTCGTTTCAGATCAGAAAGAGATGAAATAGTGTGGTAAGATCAAATTTATTTGAATTAATTATAACATTTAGCTACATTCATTAATTATGAGAGAGAGAGAGAGAGAGAGAGAGACACACACAGAGACAGACACAGAGAGAGAGACACAGAGAGAGAGACACAGAGAGAGAGACACAGAGAGAGAGACCACAGACAGAGAGACACAGACAGAGAGACACAGACACCTGTGTGAATTAGCCTACCTGCGTCTGTGCGTCTCTCCAGTCAGAGAGACAGACAGGTGACAGTTGCCTGTGTGAATTAGCCTACCTGCGTCTGTGCGTCTCTCCAGTAGGCTATTTAATCTATTAATAAAAGTCACGGGGCAGCATTCTCAAGAAGTTTGTGTCCTCCTGAATGTTTGTACACGTGCATGTATTTTGTTAAAAATGTATTTTATTCCTGATTACTCCAGTCTTCAGTGTCACATGATCCTTCATAAATCATTCTAATATGCCGATTTGCTGCTCAATAAACATTTCTTATCATTAATTAAATGTTAAAAGCGTTTTTGTTGAAACTCTGAATAGCTTTTTAAATTATGGTCGACTGATATGGTAGTATTTAGCGATCAAGATGGCCAATATAATTCTGATATACCCAAAGCAATTTATTAATTGCTAAAGAGATATACCAATACATAGGGGTCGGCGATATGGCAAAAATGTCATATCATATCATGATTTTTTTCAGGAAAATTAAAATTTTATCACGATTCTTTGTCATGATTCTTTTTGCAAATATTCTGAGGAGTACAGCCAAACTAATTTCCCTATTTTAAAAACAAAGACATTCAGGGCAAAGGGGTGAAGAACAAAATCTTTGTCATTATTTTATCTTTATTAAAAAATAAGAACAAAGATACATATAATATACAAATAAAACAAACAGTACTTTATTTTTCAGGTACAGTAGGTGTATTTAGAAGTAGCATTCAAGAAATTGAATGAACAAATATAAAAATAAAACACTATATACACTTTACTGTATAAATTATACATAGATTCTAATTAAAGCAACTGTTTTTAAGTTCTTCAGTCAAGAGCAGTGAGTGATTTCTATCTTTGTTTTGTTGTTTTATTAACATTAAAGGGATAGTTCACCCAAAAATGAAAAATCTGTCATCATTTGCTTGCTCTCAAGTTGTTTTAAACCTGAATGAGTTTCTCTCTTAGTCCAGTATTCAGGCGCTGTTTGACAGGCTTTTAGTGTGCATGTGCTTCAGGTGTACGCATTCAGAAGAAGTGCATGTCAGAACCGCACGCAAATTAAATGTTTAACCGGCAACGCTTTAAAGCACATGCAAGTAATGTACTTTTGTGATTGCAAATAAGAGCAGTGTCCCTGTGAGTGTAACCGCTGAGTTAACATTTGATGTGAATGTATGTCGCGTTGTACAGTATATTGAGACTGAGATGCCAGAACTGCAACTGATAGAATGTGCGCTGTAGCACGATACTATGATATTTCTTCAAGAGCAGATCGTGGAGACATTTTTATCGTCCACGCTCAATAATCGTGATATCGCACACACCTACCAATATGCAAAAGTGCTCAAATTAAATGAACATACATTTCATGCAAAAATAAATAAATAAAATCTAAAATAATGTTTACCTAAAACAGCTTTTAAACACGCACTCCAACCAGGGGTGCATACCAAAAGCAACTATGTTCTAAGTTCCGTCGTTACCAATAGAATTGACCACCATAGTTAGCTAACAATGCTTTTGGGAAACACACCTCAGGTTGACTGCTACATTACAAACTTGTGAACCCTGATTCCCAGAAGTTGCATAAAGTCAATCTGATGGGAGCTTGTACTTTTAAGAAAGCTTGTTTTTTTTGTTTGTGTGTGTGAAATATGGATCAGACGGTCAGTGAGTGGTCTGTAATTTTTAATTCAGTAATTTTTATGGTTGTTACGTCTCTTTTTTTTTTCTTTTTCTTTTTTTCTTCAGGTGTCCTATAATATATTCCGAACTCTTCCGCCCAGTGACAGTAATGAGTTTGACCCAGAGGAGGATGAACCCACTCTAGAGGCTTCATGGCCACATTTACAGGTGAGTGTGTGTGTAATTGGTGCTGGTTCTTGAGAATATTGTTTTGTACTCTGGTCCCTCTCTCCTTGTGTAGAGCTCCTGTCTGTTTTATTTGTTTCAGCATGTTTGTCTGTGTGTGTGTGTATTTTCGAGGGTTTGTACACACAGTCTGACCCTCTCTGTGTGTGTATACTCACTGTATGCTTCCAGGACTCCTTTAGAAATGAGATGCATATCTCAAGGAGAATCTTCCTGGTAAAACTTTTCTCTTTTGTTTCGTTATAAATCCCTGCTTTCGTCGTCTTCATCTAAAAAAAAAAAAAAAAAAAAAAAAGAAAAGGAAAAAAAAAATTCCAATAATGAAAGCCACATTCCCAGACATGTGAACCTGTTTTATAATGGCAATGACCCCTGGTGGCAGTAGCAGTGTGTTCTGTGACTGTGACCTCAACTTAACCATGACCTTTGACCTTTCTTTGCATGCATGCTGAGTTCAAAGAACTCCACCAAATAACACAAACTCTCTCTCTCGTTCTTTTCTCTTCTCAGCTGGTGTATGAGTTCTTCATTCGTTTTTTGGAGAGCCAGGAGTTTCAACCCAGCATTGCCAAAAAGTACATAGACCAGAAATTTGTCTTACAGGTGAGGGTGTTCTTTTAAAAATCTCCTCAGTCCCTTCTTTTTTCACTAGTGTTTGCTCATCATCGTTTTCCCCCTCATTTTTATGTGCCGTCCATCTGTTGTCCTATCAGCTGCTGGAGTTGTTTGACAGCGAGGACCCACGGGAGAGAGATTACCTGAAGACAGTCTTACACAGAATCTACGGAAAATTCCTGGGACTAAGAGCTTTTATACGAAAACAGATTAATAATATTTTTCTACGGTGGGGGATATGACAGTTTACATAATATTAATGCACATCCAAGAAAGAAGTGCAAGCATTCATATCTCTTTCTCATTCTTAGTTTTGTTTATGAAACTGAGCACTTCAATGGAGTCGCAGAATTGCTGGAGATTTTGGGAAGGTGAGTTGTACTTGTTGAAAGTCACAATGTAATTTTCTTAACTGCTAAACTTACATACATGGCCATTTATGTGTGAGATATATATATTATCTACAGGACTACAGTTACTCTATTGATTACATGATTACATATTATTCACACAATAGCAATCAATTATTAATAATTTCTGGACTCTCCCTCATTCTTCTGTTTCATCTCTTAAATGTTCCTTTCTAAAATAGCTTACCACTTATATATGCTCAGAAAGTCTTTCAGTTTTGTGGTCATTCACACGAAGACTAGTCACTAGTTGGGTGGCTATAATTACACAGAAAATTGAGTGACCACACAGCATTTGACCACTAGATTTACATAAAATCATTTGAGTTTTAAGAAGTGTTTTCTCAGCATTTCAACGTTGCATAAACTACTGATGAACACATTCATTTTTATTTAATGTATCACCCAGTGGGTTATCTAACCATGTGTTTTTGGAAGGCTTTTGTCTTTCAAACACATTAAAATGCACAAATTCACATTTCTTATTTACATGCAGTGCAGAGATTCACAGGCTTTTTTTTTGTCAGCTACACCTCTTTCAGCTAATATATGTGACCCTGGACCACAAAACCAGTCTTAAGTCGCTTGGGTATATTTTTAGCAGTAGCCAAAAAAAATTGTATGGGTCAAAATTATCGATTTTTCTTTTATGCCAAAAATCATTAGGATATTAAGTAAAGATCATGTTCCATGAAGATATTTTGTAAATTTCCTACTCGTAAATATATTAAAACTTAATTTTTGATTAGTAATATGCATTGCTAAGAACTTCATTTGGACAACTTTTAAAGACGATTTTCTCAATATTTAGATTTTTTTGCACCCTCAGATTCCAGATTTTCAAATAGTTTTATCTCGACCAAATATTGTCTTATCCTAACAAACCATACATCAACGGAAAGCTTATTTATTCAGCTTTCAGATGATGTATAAATCTCAATTTCGAGAAATTGACCCTTATGACTGGTTTTGTGGTCCAACATATTTACTTGAAGTACCCCTGAGATTTTAAGGTCATAAGTTAATAATTAAGTATCACATTTGCATGTTCATGGTTCTCTGACATTGGTTAATGATCACATGACATGCAGGTAAACAAATAAAATATTGTTTTATTTTGATTGTTATTTTAAAATGATTTATTTTAATTTAATATATTTATGATTGAATTAATTATTTGCTTTTCATTAAACCCACAAACCCCCTGCAGTTCCTTCACAAACCCCAGTTTAGGAAACCTTGACGTAATGTAATGTTTAATGCCCTTCATGTTGTCAGTAACAACGAATGGAATACGTTCTTTTTCTTTGCATTTTTATATCAATTTGGTACAAGATTTCCTATTTAAATCAATTTGATAAACGAGTTAGGTGAAAAGTAATCTAAGAATAATCTGATTATATTACCTAAAATGTGTAATGGATTGTTACTAACTAAATTTTTTGTCCTTTAATTTGGAATCAGTAAAGGGCTACAATTTGTAAGTAATCTACCCATCTCTGTCTATCAGTATGTTCCACAAATTAAGGTTTGATTTTAATTTTTTTCCGGACGCGACAGTTGTCAATTTGTCATGCTGCGCCGCAACAGCTAGAGGCTGTTTACTCTGGATGCGACAAAGCGACCATTGCAAATCATTTGAACTTTGCGTCAGTACATCATAAATAGAATGAGGCAGCAGTTTACTGTCGGGGATTTGTCGCATCCAGTGTAGACAGCATCACTAATTATAATAGGTTCGTGGCCGGTGTAGACACGGTGTTAGAGTTGTATGGGCAAATAGCACTGTCATTGACATGACCAATGAAATCTTTAGTAATGGCAGGGCAGGGTTTGCGCTTGACAAAAAAAGTCATGCCATTCACACACCCCAAGTTTGCTATTTACATAATTTCAGTCACTTAACATAATTGTATAATTGCAATTAATTAACAGTTGGGATTTTCTTTTACATAAAATGTGAGTTATTCTTGATCATCTAAACATTCTTAAAGGTTCTTCCGAAAATAAAAATAGTTTTTATTCACCTTCATGGTATTATATGACAAGCGCATTTGTATCCATACAGAAAAAACATACAGTTTCCACGGGCTGTAAAGCACCATAAAAAACAGTGTCCATATTTGTACAGTATTACACATCTTGACATCCACTGCAGCTTTTGTCGTGCTTCTAAAACTGATGATTTAATGAAACTAAGTTTTGCATTGTTCTGAATGTGGCGATAAATTCAGGGTTGAGCAATCCCAGAATGCTGTTAGTGAAAGTTTTGTTTGTCTCCTGTCAGCATCATCAATGGCTTCGCTCTGCCGCTGAAGGCCGAGCACAAACAGTTTCTGGTGAAAGTTTTGATTCCTCTTCACACCGTCAGAAGCCTCTCACTTTTCCATGCACAGGTACTGCCTGTGTTAAAACATTCAGATGAGAATTATGTGTTCACTTCCTGTTTATCCTGTCAGTGACATTACTGTTGTTTTTGCAGCTGGCGTATTGTATTGTACAGTTCCTAGAAAAAGACCCTGCATTAACAGAACCAGTGAGTGCAGCCTTTCACTAATCATCGCTCTCTTTTTTTTGTCCATTTATTTAATCAGTGTCATGTTTTTTCCTCTTCTAACAGGTTATCAGAGGTCTGCTGAAATTCTGGCCTAAAACCTGTAGTCAGAAAGAGGTGAGAGAGATGCAGTCTCCTGAATAGAGCTTATTCACAGCATGTGGTTGATCAGTCATGATTTCAGGGCAGTATTGATGACGATGTAGGATGGATTCACTGATGTTCTATATCTGCTTCTCTGATTGTCTGCATTGATGTGTGTGTAGGTCATGTTCCTAGGTGAGTTGGAGGAGATTCTGGATGTGATTGAGCCCACACAGTTTGTGAAGATCCTGGACCCTCTCTTCAAACAGATCTCCAAATGTGTCTCCAGCCCTCATTTTCAGGTCTGCACAAATCCACTCTAGTCTAAGACTGAATCAGACTCGGCCCAAGTATATTTATGCTGCCAGAATAAACAATTTTTAGTTTTTATGAGTCATGAAACCCTCTTATTTCAGGACAGGCCAGTTCTCACCACAATTTAGCGCTTTAAGGGAAACCGCTTACAAATGCATGCAGCAATTGACAATTCAAAATCAATATACATCATATTATGAGCTTAGAAAGCACTCAAATTGTGTGTATGTGTGTCCAGGTGGCTGAGAGAGTTCTGTACTACTGGAATAATGAGTACATCATGAGTCTGATTGAGGAGAACTCCAATGTGATTCTGCACCACATATAAACCGAAATACAGTATGATAAGCAGAATCCAGTTTTCTTAACAAAGACGAAGCTGCATGCATATAAACAAGATCACCATAATCAATAACACATAAAAAATTATAGTTTTTTCTAACCTTATAGGGAAAGCAATTTTTGAAGCAATAAAGGAACCCCAATTTTGGCCAGATTCTTCAGCAAGTTGTCAATGTGGATGTTAAAAGCTAGGTTTTCATCCAACCATATGGTTAAATATTTATAATTTATTATTTCAATTTCAGTGCCATCTAAAGTTGAAATTGCCAAACCTGTTTTTAGAATAAGTATGACTAAAAATCATGTACCTTGTCTTTTTTTTTATTATTTAAAAACAACTTGAATTTTAACAACGAATGTTACATTAATAAAACGCCTTTTGTAGATTCAGTAGAGCTTGATGCTGCACAATAAATAATTGTATCATCGGCATACAGATGTATATTAGCGGAGTCCACACCAAAGCCATTGATAAAATGTAAACAAAATAGGAGATAAAATGGATCCTTGAGGAACTCCTTTTTTAACTTTGAGAAAAGGAGAATTGTAATTTTCTAAACTTACACATTGGGTGCGTTCAGAAAGGTAGTCATCAAACCATTTTAGAGCAGCTTCACTAATACCTATAGACCTAAGTTTCTGTAGCAATAAATTATGCCAACGCCAAAGGAATCAAAGGCTTTCGAAAAGTCAATATATAATGCTGCACAGGACTTTTTGCTATCTATAAGGTAATTTGTAACTAACAGAGATGCAGTTATGGTACTAAAACCTGATTGGTAATCATTAAGGACATTATTATCCATTAAAAATATTTAATTAGTCATTTATCAATAATTGAAATATTTAAGCTAAAATAAGATGATAATTATTAGGATCAGAAGGATATCCACTTTTTAGTAATGAAACAACTGTCGCCGACTTCCACGTTTTCGGTATAGTATTTGAAATTAAACTTAAATTATAGTATTTGAAATTAAACTTAAATAAAAAATCGAAGCTATTGGCTCTGCCACAACACCATCAGCAATTTTTTTTTTTTTTAAATCAGGTTAAATTTTTATCAACTCCTGCTGATTTTTAATGTCTAATTTCACTAAAGCATTGTAACCCTGAGATGTTGTAATGGGAGAGAAATTAAATACTTTCCTAGGACAATGTTCATCATAACCAAAAGATTCTTGGGACTTTAACTGATAAACTTGATGCTGAGGTAAATGTAACTAGCTTCCAAAGTTTTGTAGGATTATTTAAATTTTCACTGACCACGGATCACGTTTCGCATTTTTTATTGATTTATTACAGATATTTCGTAATGCTCTATAATAACTCCAATCTATTAAATCATTTGATTTCTTCGCCTTGGCCCAGGCAACATTTCTCTGATTAATAAGGGTAGAGAGAGCATCACTGAACCAAGGATTGTCTTTGCCATCCTAAAACATTTATGAGGAGAGCATGCTTATCACATATTGTTAGAAAGATCTTTTTAAAATAACCCCAAGCTAAGTTTACGTCTGGCATACACAAAATAAAACCCAGATCACTGTTATAAAGATCATACATAAAAGCATGTTCGCTAGAATGCTTAAAAAATCGTTTATAAATAAAACCCGATGAACTCTTAGGAATCTTACAATTTCTCACAGACAACTGCACAGTGATCACTAATGTCATTACAAAAGACACCAACTGCAATAAACGTATGAGATGCATTAGTTAAAATGAAGTCCAGTAAAGTTGATTTACCCAAGTCCTTTTGATTAATTTAGTTTAGCTTAGATTAGTTGGTGAATTAATCAGTTGAACCAAACAAAGTGTCACAAATATCTTTAAATGGGTCTGATAGTAGAAAAAGCCAGTCCCAATTCAATTCAAAACTTGCATAATAGGACCCCTTTAAATTGTAATAATATTTCAGGATATGTTTTTACTGTATTTTTTTATCATATAAATGCAGTCTCGGTGAGCATAAGAGACTTCTTTCAAAAACATAAAAAAACTTTACTGTGCTCAAACCTTTGAACAGTAGTGTACTTTCACAGCTTCCATGTAAACATTTAGTATATTTGTATGTGATCAACACAACACTGTCCTCACTGTCCAGCATTAACTGGATTAATCATTTCCTGTCCAATCATGCTTAAATGGTCTAATTCTTTCTCTTTTTCCGCTTTCAGGGCCATAGTAGCTTTAGTCTATAATGTTCTGAAGGCCTTCATGGAAATGAACAGCACTTTGTTTGATGAACTCACGTCCACTTACAAGTCAGATCGTCAGAAGTGAGCTGGGTTTTTTTTTTTTTTTTTTTAATTCATTACTTTTGTGACATTTTCATGCTGCTTATACATGCAGTGTTAAACATACCTCACCTTTATTTGCATTTTTGTTCCATCTGTCATTCCTCAGAGAGAAGAAAAAAGAGAAGGAGAGAGAGGAGCTGTGGAAGAGGTTGGAGGACCTGGAGTTAAAGAGAAGCCTCCAGAGCGACGGGATTATTCCCACTTAACGACGCGCCTCTCCTGGACCGCTTTTTTCCAACGCCACCACCATGTGCTCGGGAACGTTGGCCACATTTGTTTTCCTTTCTGTATTTGTGCGATTTACTTTACCGTAGATTCACCTCGTCAGTCTCATTATTTCAAAAGCACTGTAAATACGTTTATTTTATCTTCTTTTTTTCCCCCTTAAAAATATTATGCCGAAAAAGAACGTGACTAGAAAAGGAAATAAAAAAATTAAAATAAGCAACAAAAAAAACAAGAGAAACCCGCACTGGATGGGGAAGGATTTTGAACAGACAGTAGGACTGAAATGAATGACTGCTGTAAAGAAAATCAAACAAACAGAGAATCTGAACCCACCGATCTGACATACCTCGGCCATCATTACTGAACAACACCAGCTCAATTCTCTCTCTCTCTCTTTCCTCACTTGCCCCCTCTCTATGTCCCTTACTCTCTTTATGTCTCTGAATTGGATCAACATTCGCCACCTGTGTGTCCTGAATATCTGAAACCAGAATCGTCTACCCTTGACCTTTGATTATCTGTTAACATCTGGATGAACGCAGCAGGTCTGGATTGTAGACGTCTTAAGGGGATGCAGAGGACACTATGCAGTATCCATCAAAGAAGAGGAAGTCATGAATACTCACCAGCTCTTGCTTTTCCCCCCTTTTCGTTCTTTTTATGTCCAAATGTGCCGCCCGGTACACTCGTTTGGACTCTTTAGCACCAGTCTGGTACTGGTACCAGAAAATGGGACACACACACACATCTGAGCGGGTGTCCAGATTTTCAGCAGCAAAACCGGAGATGCTTGTCATGAGAAATCGAACTGCACGTGCACACACACATTCTGCATTCGAGTGTGTGAGGGAGTTTCTTACAGTGTTAAGTACCTGTATACTGTATCTGAATGCAGTACTTTGATACTCTGTATCTAGTAGAGCCTTTAGCATATTTTTTTTAGGAGAATCCAGTATATGATGAGGAAAGATTGAACATAGCCTCTTGGTTTTTTTTTTTCTTTCTTTCTCGGGTTTCACTTGTTTTGGGTTTATTTAAAAAAAAGTTTTGTCTGGAATAGTTTTTCTTTTTTCTTTTGACCAAGTGGAATTTGTTCTTTCTTTTCCTTTTTTTACTTAGTTGCTGATTGGGGGGAGTGAGAGGGGGATTGTGGAGGACTGATGCTGTGGTGAGCTTTGTCAGAATTGAACCTGAGCTTTAGAAAGCCCCAGACATCAAACGATTACAAAAGTTAAAAAGGGTCGGATAAATACAAATGTTTAATTATTTTAAAAAATAAAGAGATATTAAATTAAACTTGTTTTGTGATAGATGAAATGCACATTTGCCTTATTTGTGGCACGGATGATAAAAGCGTAAAAGAAAAGGTATCTGTATTGACCACCAAAGCCATGTGAAAACACTTTTTACATAGGCCATTATTGCAGCTTGAAGTTGTGAAATGGTTCATATTCACAACTTGTTCCATTTTTTTTTAAGTGGTAAAACAATAATTTTCATGACCTTTTGTTCTATTAACTGTTCCATCCTTTTAAAGTGGATCTTTTCAGCTTCACAAAACCGGTCTGAAATTGACCACTATGAATACAATTTTGTTGCACAATCTTTGTAATGGTTTTTCAAAATTTCTCCTTTTGTTTTCTGCAGGGTAAACACACTGCATAGCTTGAATTTAGAATGACTAGAGGGTGAATAAATAAGTGTATGTTCGTTTTCAGTTGACCCCTTTTACTTTAAATCAGTGTGACTGACCAATTGTTTATAGGACCATGTGTAGTGTGTTTGTAAATTCAGTATTACTCTCTTTCCAGCCCTTTACTCACCAAATTCTTCCACAAGAGTGCAGCAGAGCTCAACATTAAAAATTTTCAAACCAGCCAACAACAATACTTTTGCTTTTGTAGAAAACATTGGATGTACATTATAAACTCTTTTCAACCATTGTGCAAGTAGTCTTTTGATGCAGGTCCATCATGTTTTTCCTAATGGTTTGCATGCTAAATTATGAGCTTGTAGGATTTGGCAGGATTTTTCCTGAAATGTTAAAGGATTCAGGGCTTCTCTGAAATTGGCAGGGATACAGTATATGTACTTAAGACACATATGCATGCTTTATTCTTTCAGTTTGAGCATTAACCTGTCAGATAGTAGGAAGGAGAGGAAAGGATAGGAAGGAAGGGTGTACTTGGGTGACTGCTTACTTTAATTAGCATCACTCCTGGAAGCATAGCAGTACTTTTTAGGAAAAATAAAAATGTTCTTAAAGGGACAGTTCATTCAGAAATTAAAATTATTTCACCCTCAGAATCAAAACCTGTTTTTTTTAAGGGGGTATAGGCTTGGAACAAAATGAAAGCAAATAAATAATAATAGAATTTTTATTATTTATTGTCATTTATTATCTTTAAATTCTCCTCTAAAAGTCAAATAGCCTCCAGTGATTATAATACCCTCTAATATGGATCCTCAGTAAATGGACGGGACATGTACCGCTTAGTTCAGAAAATGCACCTCTTACGTTAGTGTCTGCATTGACACTAATGGACTCCTCTTTTGGGTGTTTAAAGGGATAGTTCACCCAAAAATGAAAATTACCCCATAATTT